TGTTCTCATTTACATTGCATTTACGAGACTCCAAGGAATTAAAATGGGCGGAATAGCTTCTTGACTTCTTTTGGTCACCTTCTCTAAGAAAATGAGACTGATCATGTGCTCTGTCTTTTGTTAGTTTTTGGCCTCTTGGCCAGTTTTGGGTACATTTTTACAGAGATGTGGGTGTCTTGGATATAGTTGTTTGTATAAATTTCGTCAATATTTGGTGCTGGCTAAGTACAGGGAATTCTGTACCCTGTGATCCACAGTGTTCCCTGTGAAGGAAAGAAAGCAAACTAAATTAGGTGTCTGTTGCCCTCTTTGGATGGTACACAATTGTTCTGTTGGCCACTTTTTTGCTCTCCCTTAGTGGATGAACCTGGAGATTATTGCACTGGGGACGGATGTAGAAGGCAAATGGAATGGATAGGTAAGGAAACATGCTTTGATTGGTTTGGGGCAAGTTATTCTGTAAGAAAAAGCCAACTGAGGAACAGGATAGTTTAAGAAGAGTCATCTCAGTTTAATCAGATGAGCAAGATGAGTGAGGGATAAAGCCCATAAGGTTTTTTCACCCATAAGCATGTATTTATCTCAATTTATTTGGCAGAAATAGTAAATAGGAGGACAAAATAAAGACTAAGAGACCAAGAATTCCTGCTTTTTGGTTTTTTCTTTCCTAACTTGTATTTGCAAAGATTTCTCCCTGAAAATATTCCCCCTGAAGATTAAAACTGCTTTTTGTACTGGCATCTGATGGTCTGTCTTACTCTTCTGGTTCGGGAGGTAACCGTTCTGTGTTTCAAGACTTTATGTGGATGTTAACATGATACTTACTGTGTCCAAGTTGTGTTACTCTATCTGGCTGACTCCTCTAGTGGGTGGAGCTGCGATGTCTGTCAATCCATGGGGGACTAAAGGTAACATTGTATTTTTTGTGCAGAGGACTTGTGCAGGCTGTCATGGATAAAACTTAAGAGAAGTATTGATGCAGGTAGAAGCCAGTTGCTCAAGACAAGCAACAGCTTTACAACTCCAGAAAGAAGTTCCTTGATGATCTTAATAATGTAAAAATAACTTAAAAGTTATTTAGCTACCTGCTCTTCTGTCCTTTGATCGGATTTCTAGATTGCTGGACAAGATTCTATCACTGATGCTAATATGAATTATAATTCCTACCCCTGCAGTTCTTAGTTAATCGAATTGCTCCCTAACCTGGCAAAAAAATAAATAAATAAAAAAAAAAATTATCCTGGCTTCAACTGGAAGCTTGCCATTAAATGGAGCACAGAATCATGGGTGTGTTTGTCTGCAAGCAGGCAATAAAACAGCTGTAGGAGCTTTGAGAACTGCTTACTTTGTTTGAGTTGTCAGATATTCATTTGTTTGTGTCTTCATCTGCTCAGATACGTTGGAAAAGGGCAGCTTCCTAGGAGTTTATCCACAGTGGAGGTGAGGACGGATCCATAGTATGGTGGTTAGACAGTGCTCTTGCCCTTTCGGGTGAAGACACTGCAGTACATTGCTGAGCCAGTTAAGCTTTTGCTTCCTTTCCAACTTGTTGAACTATATGAAGAACTGTTTAAGAATAAACTTTTGTATATGTTACCATCTGAATTAATGTGATGGGATTTCCAATGGGTGTGGTAAAAAGCTGACCTGTATAAGTGAATGATATAACTATTGACAGCATGTGTTTGGCTCTTTGTGAACATCTTTCTGCTGTAGCTGATGTAGGATTTCACTGTAGAATAATCCTGTGTTTATCTTCTGCCCTGCAAATAATTTTGCACTGTGAAGATTAAAATAATAATAAACCCCATGGTACATTAGTAAGGATGTATGCTTTTTTGAGCTTCATACAATAGGGTTCTTGCCATAGTCTCTGCCTGTTTTATTGTAATTATAAAGTAGGACAGTTCAGTAACTAGATGTGACCTGAATTAATACTTCCTATGAAAAAAAGTCAGGCTATATAAATTACAGGCAGAAAGACTTTGCATGAAACTTCATCTCAGGTGCTTTACTGTTAAAATTGGAATCTAGGTTCCTCTTTGTTTTTCAAAGCACACTGAAACATGTAGAATCATGCCAACAGCTTAGAACTTATCACTTTCAAGGTCTTCTCTCTGGCACAGTATTTGCTGTGAAGCAGTCTCTTTGGATTAAGTGTTGTTTTCACAGTACCATACTTGCATTGTTTGTAACTTACTGCTCTTTCCACACTGACTACTCAACAGACCTAACTTTTGCCAGCATTATATCTTTATTGGCTTGTGAAAAACTTGGGAGCAAACTGACATCCCTGAGCTGCCCTCCTACTACAAAATGTGGCATAGTGTTTATGACAAGCTTATCTTGAAGATTTGAAGTCTGAGATAGTGTGAAGTTTTGCTATTTTCAGAATCTTAATGGAACGTTGTTTACTGACAATTATTTGTCAGGATCAAATTGGAAATGGAAATGTGTTGGGTTTTTTTATGGGTAAGCTGCTACAGAGTATAAAAAGTAGCAACTTGTTTGTCACACTGGGACACTATTTGTTGAAATGTAAGTTGAAGTAAAATACAAATTTTCACATTGCTCAATCTTCTTGAAGACTGGAAATTAATTTACAACAAATATTACAGTGAAATATTGCTAGTGTGCATTTGAATATTTTTCAGACTGTAGTATTGTTAGCCCAAATTCACCTGAGTGAGGTCCTGCTGAGTTCATTCGGACTTGTTCCATTATTGGTGCACTTACAGAAGAATAGTCTTTTCTTGCTCAGTAAGCTTAGAATAGGCTATATCCAGGTATATATTGTAATCTAAGCTTTGCAAACTGGGCTGTTGATAGAGGAATACAGATGAATTTTCTTGCTTACTTGTCTGACATACATACTAAGAAGCATGACTTTCATGTTTTTCCTTTTAAGAGAAAAGTTCACGAAGACAAAACAATGTAGTAGGTTGAAAGCATGCACATGGCTTGGAACTATTTTTGTGTTCTCGTACTCCCTCCTGAGTAAAAAGAAAGCAGTGGTTCTTTTTAAGCCAAAACAGAAGTGTGTGGTTGCTCTTTTCTATCTCCTTTTGAAAAGAACTTGTAGCATGATATTAGTTGTATTTCTTTGTTATATCTATAATGAATATATAGCATCTTCCTTAAGCTTATTTTGCTTAGATAATCTTTCTAGGAAAAATAATTTGACTTAATTTTCAGTTGCATTTTCAGAATTTTTTGATGGCAGAATGAGTAGCAGTGCTGATGTGATTTCAAGAGTTTTTCACATAGGTTGTGGCTTTAGTGTGGTAGGCAGATAAGTCCCACTGCTTGCTTGCTCCCCTTGCCACCAGTGGGAGGGGGGAGAGAATTGAAAGGGTAAAAGTAAGAAAACTTCTGGGTTGAGATAATTATAACTTCGTAAGTATTTTTTTAAAAGGAAAACAAACCCAAGGAAAGTTTCTAAAAGAAAATTTGCTCACTGCTAGCTGACCAATGCCCAGCGGTTCCTGAGCAACGGCAGTGCTGACAAACTTCAAACCTCTCTGCCAACTTTCATTACTAAGCTATGGCATGGTGATATCCCTTTGGTCAGCTGGTCCAGCCATATCTCTCCTAGCTGCTTGCTCATCCCCAGCCTGCTTGCTGGCATGGCAGTGTGAGAACCTTGATGGCATGTATTTATTTTACTTCTGGGAAAGACTGGCTTAATCTCCAATGAAGCTTTAGTCATCATGCTTTTATACTACTTGCATCACTGCTGACAAAGCCTTAGTGCATGGCCTCAACTTGGGTTTTTGATGTAAGTTTTAAGAAAGTTGTCATGCTTCACGTTCTGATTGAGCTGCACTGAAGGTTAATTCATTATGTAGTAGGATGTAATTTTAGTGTTACATTGTCAAATAATTACGATGGCAAAAGGTAACAAGGTAATCATACCAAGTTACTATGCTGTTATTATCTGGTAGTTACATAACTGAGCTGTGCTGCCATGTGAATGTGCTCCTTTTGAGTTTTTAAATTAAAAATATATAAGTTACATTTGGTTTTTACTTGCTACCATAAATCTTTCTTGTATTTATATATGTAATGTAGATGTTATTGATTCTTTTGGAGTTCAGACCTTGTTTTGACCTTAAGTCTCTGAAGGAGAATGCATTCTGTCACTGTACAGGAACTTTCCTCTGTTTTATGAACTGTGCAAGCATTCACAAATTCTTTTATTACTACTGGGATACATAGAGAATGAAACAAAAGTGTGGGAAAATAGAGAATGCACTAAAACTATAGCATGCATGTTTTGGTTTTTTTAAGTTTACAGAATTGCTACTTTTTGTGCTTGTGCACATATACATTTAAGTATGTGAATTAGCTGTCATAGAGCCCGTTGGTGTTGGTGAGATGCAGAGATTTGTGTTTGAACAAGCAGTCATGGGACTGAGACAACTACTCCAAATATACCAAATAATTACATTTGTAGGCAAGTTGAATTTTTCCACTCTGTATAAACTAGACTATTTTGTTTTCTGACTTGCTGAAACTGGGTATTTTTAGATTTTAAGTTTGCTTGCTTTTCCTGTAAAAGTACCCTATCTAATCCTTGCTGCTGTGTCTTAGTGCTTTCCATTTAAACTGGAAATCCTTTCAAAAGTCTGTTTCCTTCCCCTGCAGTTGTCATATCATGTTTTCTTGTATGATATTAACTCACTGTGACTTCCTTTTTCAATTCTTGTGTAGTAAACTATCAAGAATTCTTGACACTACTGCGCCACTAAAAGAAAATGCTACATACCAAAATGCTGTTTCCAAATGGTGAAGGATTTCTTTGCTTAATTAAAAATTAAAAATAAAAAAAAAAAAGCTTAATATAACTTGTGAAATGGTTTCCAGTGGAAGAGGTGGTAGCTTTCAGTAAAGCAGAACTGAAATTAAGTCATTAAATATGCAGGGATTTGAAAAATACATGTTATCAGTTCATGTGGGAGAAGGAAAAGAAAACTAATGAAGAAATATTTTTTTCCTAGATTTTTTCATTTGATACCTGTGAATTTTCTGCAATCCAAAGATGGCAGCAAATAAACCTAAAGGACAGAATTCATTGGCTTTACACAAAGTCATCATGGTGGGAAGCGGTGGTGTAGGAAAATCTGCTTTAACACTACAGTTTATGTATGATGAGGTAAGAGTCTGTAGTAGAAGTTGTCTCAGGAGGTGCATGCTACATAATGTTGTTCAAGTTACATTTGTAGAATTATTTTCTGAAAGGGTCTAAATGTATGTGATGTGGTATGAAATTCAGCAGTTAAGTGGAACAAAAACATGTTTTGAGATTACTGATTTTCCTTCTAGAGGTACCTTTGAAGGCAAAAATTGGCCTTTTCCAGACTTCTCAGCTGTTTGATACTCTGTCATATTACTGGAATATTTTTGCATTGCTCACTAGACCTATTATAACTTGGTTATTATAGCTCAAAGCTTCTTCACTTAGTTGCATGACACCTGAAACAAACAATTTATTCTGGTTTTTGTGTTGCTGTTGAAGAGAGGAAAGAAAATGAGTTTTTCTTTTCCTTTTTTTTTTCTCAGTGAAAGTCATCCCTTTTTATTAAAAGTCAGAAGTTAAGCATTCAGTGTACTTTAAAAGTTGATACTAAATATATCCAAAGTCAGGACTACCTGATTTCATAATGGAACAAAGGCAGATATTGTGCTTGAACCAGAAGAAGAGGTTTGGGTAGTGCACGGATACTTCACAGTAAACAGTACTGTGTACTACAGTACACAGATATTTCAAAACAGATGTTTTGAAATTACCTCTACATTTCCTTGTAATGGCTGAGGAAAGCATAAACCTAAAACTGTTTAGGCTTTAACTATGAGTTGTTTGAGTACTTCACAGGGCCTAAATGCACAATGCTTAGTTATTAGTTACAGTACCCATTTAATATGTTTGCTATATCCTTATGTGCAAACAGAAGCAATTGCCGTGTACAGGCATGATTTTACTTCATGAAGGTTTTTTTTTCTAGTTTGTTGAAGACTATGAGCCCACCAAAGCAGATAGCTACAGGAAAAAGGTGGTTCTGGATGGGGAAGAAGTCCAAATTGATATATTGGATACAGCAGGGCAGGAGGACTATGCTGCAATTAGAGACAACTACTTCCGAAGTGGAGAAGGGTTTCTTTGCGTCTTCTCCATTACAGAGCTGGAATCCTTTGCAGCAACTGCAGACTTCAGGTAAGTTACAAGGCAATATAATAATTCTAATTCCACTGAGATGATTGAAAGTGGTGGTTTTTTTTGTGTGTGTTTTGTGTTACCCTTTTGATGGTCCAGACTGGATGCCAGCTCTTACTGTTGTCACATGTTTTTAACAGATGCCTAGACATGCTTTTGCTATCTGTACCACTTCAGATGTCTTATCTGCTGTGTTTCTGAATACCAGAAAGGCTATTGCCACAGAGCAGATACACAGCAACATTCAGGAGACAGCTGCTTCACCATGGTCTCAACCACAGGCTGCATCATATTAAAACTCTTAAGATAGTAACAGAATATTATACAGGTAGGAGTATATTATAGGTATTTCATTTCAGTTGAGAGAGAAAACATTTAAATAATCCACCACTGTATTTTTAAAAAAACACAGATATCAGAAAACAGTTTTACCAGTTCAAAGTGTAATGAAATAGAAAGGGCCATAATATTTGAAATAAAATTAAGGAAAGAAATATAAAAAGGAGTTATCTGATTCCCATTGAAATTAGTTTTCTTGGAGATGCTGTTATAGTTCAACTTAGTTAGCACTAAGTAGCAGCGTATGTTTAAGGGAGGAGAAAGAGGTATGGACAGGGGAGAAAGTAAATTTTTCATCTTCCAATGTTTTTTTAAATTTATTTGTGTTTCTATATGTCTGTTTATATATTTTGAGAGAGGGCAGAGCAGACCATTTTTGTTTGTAGGTTTTTGCTGGGTACTGTCAATCATGGAGGACAGTTTAGTATAGTTCAGCTCCCCTAGAGTGCAAAATTACCTATTCAAACATGTTTAAAATCATGCCAGTGCTTCAAAGTAATGATCTTTGGCCTTAGAAAAAGTCCTACTTTCCACTAAAGGTAAGAGTTAACAGCATACATGTTGAAAGAGGAAAAATGAAAGAAAAAAGTCCCTTCAAGTAAAGGTATTAAAATTAAAATTGTCCCCAATCCAAATATGAAAATGAACCATAGAAGACTAAATGATAAAATATAACTCAGAAAAATATATTTTTTCTGCTCTGTGTGTAAAAGTAATCTGTATCTCTTGAAGGTACAGTTAAAGTACCTTTGGCACTGGTGAGTAGTCTGAGGCCATACTGCTCTCCTAGTTTGAAAGCAAACCACTGAGAGATTCCAAGTCAGAACTACAATTTACAATGGGAAAATTGAAATAAAAGCAGAAGATGGGCTTAAACTGACAGAGTCAGGATACAGCCTGACACCCTGTTGGTCAGGGTATTGGTAGCAGTCTGATCAAACAGTGGCTGCAGTCCTGTTGCAATGACAGATGTGGTTCTGTTGAAGAGGTGATCCTGGCCTTCCTCTGAAGGTCCAGTGGTGGTTATGTGGCTCTTGTCCTCTGTGAATTCAGTAGGTAGGCTGCCTGTGATGTGATGTTCCAAACCTCAGATTATATCCAGGTAGAAATGCTTGGTTCCTCCCCCTGGACAGAGCACTTAACAATGGGATGATGTAATTTTATCAGTCATGCAGTGAGACTTGACGGCCCATTAGCAGAAGACATCCCCTGGAGGGAGTAAGCAGGGATGAGTCATGGAAGAGATAAAGAATGCTGCCTCACCTGGTTTTAACAGTTTATGAAGATGGTGCTAGAATATATAGTTCTGGTTACAACTTATATTGTAACCTAAGACAACTACTTAAGGGCCAAGTATTAAAGAAAGTGACAAGAACTTGGATGTTTGTTTTTATGGAACTTTGTTCTGCTGGAGTGGCAGACCTTCAACAGGAGAGCTTTTTACTGCAGTTCAGTGAGGTTCCTGATATGCTCTGAAATGCCATTGTCCAAGTAATTTTATCAATAGAATACAGACCTGCAATGACTGTACTTTTAAATACTTGAAAGATTGTTTGTTAAAATTTGGCCTTGCTTTGAGTAGAATTTATCTGGCTCTCATAGTGTGGATTTTTTTTATGTTCTAGATTTCAAGCTGGCACATCATTAATTAGATATTTCTTGTTTAGTCTTCAGAAGGGGCTCAGAGGAGAGTGTGAATATCATAATCTGAATTGCTGTTAGGTTAACATTTTACATGGTGAAATTGTTTGGCATCTGTGGTGGTTTGACTTGGCATTTACCCAGGTACCCACCAAAGCCCCTCTATCTCTTCCATCCTCAGCTGGACAGGGAGCAGAAAATCCAATGAAAGGCTGATGAGTTTAGGACAGGAGGAGATCACTTACTGATTACCATGACAGGCAAAACAGACACCGCTTGGGGAAAGGAATTGAATTTATTGCCAATCCAAATCAGAGCAGAATAATGAGAAGCAAAACTAGCCTTAAAAATGCCTTCCACTCCACCCCTCCTTCTTTCCTGGTCTCTGCCTTCGCCTTCCCAGCGGCCTAGAGAGACAGGAAATGGGGGTTACGGTCAGTTCATCACATGTCGTTCCAGCTGTTGCATCTTCCTCAGGGAGAGAAATCCTTCCCCTGCTCCAGTGGGGAGTCTCTCCCATGGGAGATAGTTGTCCATGAACTTTTCCAGTGTGAGTCCTACCCAGGACTGGAAGCTCACTAACTGCTCCTGCATGGGTCCCTTTCCATGGACTGCGGTCCTTCAGGAACAGAGTGCTCCAGCGTAGGTCCCCCACAGGATCGCCATTCCTGCCAGTAAACCTACTTCAGCATGGACCCCTCTTTCCAGGGGCCCACAGTATACACACCTGCCAAGAGCATATCCCAGCATGGATGTCCTCCGTGGACTGCAGGGGAATCTCAGCTCTGGTGTCTGGAGCACTTCCTTCCCCTTCTTCACTGACCTTAGTATCTATATAGTTGTTCCACTCACACATTCTCACTCTTTTCCTCTCTGAGTGCAATTCTACCTGTGCAGTACTATTTTAAATAAGTTATCCCAGAGGTGTTGCTACCATTGCCTTGGCCCTGGCCAGTGGTGGGTCTGTCCCAGAGCCAGCTGGCACTAGACATGCCAGTAACAGATACTGGGAAAGCTTCTGGCAGGTTCTTGCGGAAGCCACATCTGTAGACCCACCACTAACAAAACCTTGCCATGCTAACCCAGTATAGCATTGCCTGGATAATCAGTATTGAAAGCTACTAGATTTTTACCAGAAGTCTTCTTTGCACAGATACTGGCATGATGCACTGAGTTTTCTTCTGGCCACTTTCCTGATCCCCAGGCTATTCAAACTACTTTTGGATAGCTGCAGACTCTGTTAAAACATTGGCACTGGTATTTGTGTGGAAGAGGAGAAATTTTGCTTTTTAATTATACCTCATACATAAATGTGATGTCACAGTCTGCCTCAAATGCACAGTTTTAGAAAAAATTATGGACTATATACAGTTTCTCAGCTTTAGAGATAGGCTTCTTCCACAAGACTGCATGCTATTCAGAGCTTTTTGTAATGTTAGCTTCCTGCTGTATACCAAATCAAGGCCCTTTAGAATATCAATTACTTAACTGTCTTCAGCTTCTCTCCCTTCAGCTTTAAATTTGGTTTCACCTCAGCTATCAAAAGACGTTTATTTTTCGGTGCTTTTTGTCAGTCTTTAAGGAATTGCTCCATGACAGAGGGCTACCTTTCACAACTAACTTTATACTTCTTTTTTCATAGACAAAATACAGAATATTCTTCTTCTGAGACAACTTTTCTTCCAGATAATTAATGCATTTTCAATTAGAATAAAACTTTCATTATTTTTAAGCATTGAAGACTTGCATAAAAGTATTTGTAGTATTGAGTTTTATTTATAGATCTAAACCTTTCATCCTCGCCGTTAAAACAGTAGAAAGGTCTTAAAATCTGTCCTTAAAAATCTGATGCATATATAGCTTGTGTCTGTACACAGATTTACAATTAAATTAAGACCTTTGGAGAAACTGAATATAATTGACTTGAGAAAGATACTTGAAAGGAAGAGATTTTCTCTTGATATGCTATGGACCATTTTATCAGCTTTAAAAATGGCACATTTTGTTAGGAAAGAATTAGTTGTAAAACTGAAGCCTGGATAGCTTAAAAATGGCCATCAAAAATAGTAATGTAATGACTGTGGTAATGCTCTCAAATAACACAGTTAAAGAATAAATTATTAATATAAATTCTCACCTAAACCAATCCTGTTCTATTTTTTTTCATTTCTTACTGACTCAACTCCTTCCGTCCTTGAGGACTAGTTGTCTGTCTTCATTCTGTAAAATGTCATAATGAGGTTTAAGACTTTCCTGTTACATAAATTACATAAAATGAGTAAGTGGCTTGTCACTGTAAGATATAAAAGTATCTAGTCTGAGTTCTTTTTGTGTTCTAAGAATGATGCTCTATGAAAAGCTTCATTTTCTTTTTCTTTTCCTTTTTTTTTTTTTTTCTTCTTCTCCAGGGAGCAAATCTTAAGAGTAAAAGAAGATGAGAATGTTCCTTTTTTGCTAGTTGGTAATAAATCAGATTTGGAAGATAAAAGACAAGTTTCTGTAGAGGAAGCAAAAAACAGAGCTGATCAGTGGAATGTTAATTATGTGGAAACTTCTGCAAAAACACGAGCTAATGTTGACAAGGTAATAACTAGCCTCTTAAACATATCAGCCCATCAATTTTTACTTTATCCCTCCTTTTCATGGGTCATTCTCCTTAAGTTCTTAATTTTAGTAATAATTTTGTGGCATTTTGATCAAATGCTTTTCTTCCTTAGCTTGCCTGAATTGCAGGACTAGGTGACTCCTTGTAGAACAGTGAAAATGTTGTGTGTAATACATTTATCCCATTCTAAACTGGAAAGAATCATTATTGTCATGATATGACACAAGACCTTATAAAATTGTCTTGGGTCAGCCCTTTTGGCCTAGACTTCATACTGCATTTTCTGTAACTAGAGGAGAGTCTACTTCTGAACAGTGAATACTTTCTGATCCTCAGTCAGAATAAAACACCTTATAAAAGCAAATAAAGGAGGGATTTGAGCCTTCCCTACCCTCATTTAACCACCTGCCTCTTTGTATGGTGTTTCAATAAAGAGTGGATGAATACAAAAAGCTGTGAAAAGCCTAGAAGTGTCTTATGAGCTTTCAGAGGATGGTTCAGAAGCTCATAAGATAAAGAAAATATTTATCTCCAAGAAAAGAAAATGCAGATTAGTTCTGAGTGCTTCAGCAAGAATGCAAGGTCTTGCAATTCAGAATAACTGTCAGCCTTGTAGACTGTAAGAGTTTTTGTGTGGCAAAAGAAATAAATAGGTTTTAGCAATGTGCCAACCTTTCAGAGCTGTTGACAAAGTTCATCCCACATTGAATCACAGGTTTGTGATGGAAGGAACCTTAAAGATCATCTAATTCCAACTGCCCTGCCATGGGCAGGGATACCAACCACTCAGGTTGCTCAGGCTCCCATCCAACCAGGCCTTGAACACTTCCAGAGTTATGGCATCCACAACCTCTCTGGGCAACCTTTTCCAGTGTCTCACTGCCCTCACAGTAAAGAACTTTTTTTTTTTTTTACAATTAATCATTTGATTCTCTCCCCTTTTAGTTCAGAACTGTTCCTGCAAGGCTTTTATCACAAGCTGCCCATGTAAAAAGATGCTTTGTCTTTTTTTATAAACCTTCTTTAAGAACTGAAAGGCTGCAATAAGGTCTCTGGAGCATTCTCTTCCTCAGTATGAACAAGCCCAGCTTTCTTAGCTTGCCTTCATAGGGGAGCTGCTCCAGCCCACTGAGCATCTTTGTGGCCTCCTCTGGACCCACTCCAACAGGTCCATGTTTTTTTCTTGTGCTGAGGATCCCAGACCTGGGCACAGCACTGCAAGTGGAGTCTCATGAGACAGCAGAAGGGGACAACCACCTCCCTTGACCTATTGCAAATCCTCTTTTGCTGCAGCCCAGGATACCATTTGCCTTCTGGGCTGTGAGTGCACATTGCCAGATTGTGTCCAGCTTTTCATCCACGAAAGCCCACAAGTCCATGTCTACAGGGCTGCTCTCAGCAAGTTAATCTCCCAGTCTGTACTCATGTCTGGGGTTGCCCTCATCCAGATGCTGCACCTTGCATATGGTGAAAAATTCTCTAATGTAAATCCATATGTATGAGCTGTCAATTACAGCATGAGAGCTGTAATGCAAATTCTCTGTTGTAATAACTTAAACTCAACTGTTAGTTGAGTCCTGTCAGTTACCTTACTGAAGAAACTGATTGTTCAGTACTATAGTGATTTACCCTACAGAACAGCAGAGTTCTTAGTCAAGTACAGCAGAACTCATCCTCATTGTTGAATAAAGGTCTGATTTTTTGTTGTTGTTATAAAAACTAACACATCTTTTATTTTTGGTGTATAATTGCAGTTAACAGCCATCTACTACAGTTGTAAAAATCCAGCTCTTCAAATCCACTTCATTATTGTTTAGCACCTGGGGAAAAAAGTGCATGTAATATATTTTTTTTCAATAGCTCCTGGATCAATAGTCTTTGCACATACATGGTAAGCTACCAGAGAGCTCCAGGTTTCTTTTTGGAGCTGGTGGCATAATGGATTCAGATTAGCATGTCATATAGATTTAAGGTTCGACAGGCCATAAATGAGGCCTCGTTGGCACAAGTGAATACTGGGTATTCTTAGTTGCTTGAAGCATACGAAGTTTTGGAGTTTGCTACACAAACTTGGTTTACTATTGTATAAGAAATCTGGCCTCTCTGAATTCCAGAATAGTGATTTTACTCACTTGGGAAAGCACAGCCACCCTCCACTCACTTTTGGCAAAGGTGACCCAGTAAATATTTTCTCAGAAGGTTATGTATTCCAGACAGCTAAATACTGTTCTACAGTATCAGTACTTAAGCAAGCTGACAGTTGCATCTTGCTATTAGCACTGATTTAAATACAAACAACTTAGCACACATTTAAAAATCTAAATGCGATCTCATTTCTTCATGGAAATGTTTGGTTCCATTGATTTTCCTGGGATTTTATGTGATGAAAGTTGATATTTTTCCTGCAGTCAATATGAAATTAGTGTCATAAAAACCTACTGAGCTCTGTAGAGAGCTTTTCAGCCCCTCCACTGTTCATGTTTCACAGAAATGGATCAAGTCTCTTGCTGTAGATATATTTCTTAGTTCAAATTTCAAAGTATCTCAAAATATTCTGAGTTGGAGGGGACCCACAAGGATCATTGAGTCCAACCCTTAGGTGAATGGCCCATATAGGGATCAAACCCATGACCTTGGTGTTATTAGCATCATGCTCTGGCCCACTGAGCTCATTTCAGGGCTGAAAAAAGAAGCCAAGAGCACCTGGTATTCCCAGGTAGTCGGGTATTAACCAGGCCTGATCCTGCATAGTTTCCAAGATCGGATGGGATTTGGCATTCTCAGGGTGATAGGGTATCTAGGGACTCTCTCTTGAGAGAGAAGTTTTAGAATTGCTCAGCTGATTTCCTACAGTAAAATTAGAAAGATGTATACATATTATTTGCTGTAACCTTCTGTAAGTCAAGTCAAAATCTGCTGTTCAAATTAGTAAAGTAGCTTTAAGCAGCCCAGTCATAAAGCCTTAACTGTCTGTCAGTAGGATCTCTCTTACCTAAGTGAGTGGGGTATCTCCAACTTTGTCCTAAACCATTTGATGAAAGTGAACTTCACGTGTATTTAAGATTGTAGTATGGCAGCTGCAGCCAAGATTACCTGATGAAAGAAACTGTTTATGTAGTTGTATGATTGAAAACTTTGCTTTAAAGGAAATGCTGGGCTATTGGGGTTTTTTTCTCTAGTCACTTTATGCTTAGACTTGCATCATGGAACATACCATACAGCATACCATATGTACATTTCAGTCTATGCTGCTACTACATGAATATGTTTCTAAAATTGAATGTTGCACTTTTTCAACCTTTGCAGCTCATCACTTAAAATACTCAAAAGGTAAACTGATTTCCTTAAGTTTTCTCAGTAGTATGTACATACAACATCTGAAAATCTTGGCTGGCAATGAGACCCTTGTTTCAATTATCGTCTAAAATTGCCTGACATTCACTTATGAATGCCTGACAGGATTCATAAGTGAATAACAGAAGACAGGGTAACATTATGGGGCCATGAGACAAGCAGGATTACATCATATCAACTTGGCCTTCAAAACCAGTGACAGATTTGTTGTGTCTGTATTTGTTTGCTCAAACTGGTTGCATGTAATAGATTCTGTTTGAAACAACTGAAGTGGATGTCAGTGATAGCTGAAATTAACTCATATCAAAATTATTTGTTTTTGCATTTATCTTCTTATATCTTTTCCAGGTGTTTTTTGATTTAATGAGAGAAATTAGAGCCAGAAAAATGGAAGACAGCAAAGAAAAGAATGGGAAGAAGAAAAGAAAAAGCCTAGCTAAGAGGATCAGAGAAAGATGTTGCATTTTATAATCGAAAGCTTGGATTCCTTCCTATCCTGACCATACTAATAAAAACCATAATTTATAAGCATGCCATTGAAGGCTGAAGTGACTGAAATTACCCTAACATGTTGGAAAATGTAATGTACCACTAAAAGCATGATTTGGAGCTGCACTGAAAGCCAAATTCACTGAAAACAAATTATGTGGCTTCAAGAGAAGCAAAGTTCAGTCCATTTCATAATTGCCTACCTTCTCACATTTCTTCTGAATGTAGTGTTTCATAGGTAGTCTTTTCTTTAATAGCGGACAGAGGGGCAAAGTATTACTTTGTGGGTTCTTATAAAGCATACTTTTTTATCACTGGTATTTGTCAATTCATCTTGTCTTTTGTTGCCTTGAAAATTACAATTGTGAACATGATACCTAACAAAGCAGTATGCAGCTGTTTTGCCATGGAGTTATGCAAATTAGAAAAGAATAATGTATATGCGAACAGATATGTTGAGGAAAACTATATGTGGTTCTGCATTACCTGATTAACTTAGAAAAGCGATGTAATCTTTTACATTGAAACATTTGAATATGCCTTAATTTTAAAACCCAAACATAGCAGGTCGCTTAATCAAGGGTGTATTTTCAACTCTGTTGCATGGAGACTGTCCCTGTGCATCAGTGCAAGACTGCCCTCTCTGTGGAGTGCAGTTATGTGGATGATTTCACTCACTAGCTGTCTGCTAGCAGTGTCTGTTTTTTAAATGTGTGCCATACTCTGGTAATGTGAATAATACAGAGCATATTCTGTCATCTGTAACTTGGTAGACAATATGGTATCTTAAAACTAAAAGGTCAGAATACACATAAGAATAAGACTGAAGTCATATGTCTATGGCACATCTAAGCCTGGAATGGTTGTTTAAAATTTAGCGTGCTGGTACCTTGAAACTTCCCTTTTGCACATAATTTTTGTCTAGATGTTCCTTGGGTTTTAACTCCCTGGAATTGGGTGGAGTGGGGCTGATCTAGTAGCGCTTTTGTGTTTTGAGTTAAGATGTTGTCTAGGAAATTCTGGTTAATTTCTTTTGTGTTCCTAATACTTAGCTATTGGAACATGGTGTGTTATGCTGAAACTCTTTGCAGGTTTTGTACTGTTTAGTCTATGTTGATTTTCAAATGGGGAACAGTGTAGCTACTTTTTCTAGTTAATGTTGATATCAAACAATCAAATGTGCTTTGCAATACAGAAACCTTTAACATGCACATCCAAAATCCCCAAACAAAACATACTGCCTCAGTTGCTTCAGAACAACAAGAATACTAGCACATGGTTAGTGTGCTACATCTTAACTAAAAATATACCAGAATGTTTGAGGGTTTTGGACTCCTGGGGTGAGACAGGCTAGATCAATTCCACAAACTGTTATACTTTTTATACATGTATAAGCCTATAACTGACAGTTTAAAATGTGCTCAAGCAAACTAGGTAACAAATATTTAACTTTCATGCTAACAGACGTTCTAGGGACTCAAGACTTAGGAGTTATATTTGTCATGTTCAATATTTATCAGTAGGAATTTTGTATGTGCATTTAGTAGACTGCCAAATGCAGAATAAAAATTACTCATGTGACTGGCAAATATAAGCCAGTTTTCATCTTACTGTGTACTCATTTGGGTCTATTTAGCCAGGGAGTCTAACCACTAACATTGTGACTTTGCTTTGGAACCTGTGTACTGGGAACTGAGGTGTTATGAAGCCACTAGACACAAAACTTGTCTTGGCTGATGCCTTATCCTGTTCTTTTATTTGCTATTTGAGCCATTCAAAGATGAATAAACTTCCATTTTTCTAAAATATTTGTGCAGTGTTAATTGATAACTGTATTATTCATAAACATCGCTATAGCCCATGCTAATTGTCAAGCAATTAAACCAAAGTACTCTAGAAGACTGGTTTTTGTGCATGAAGATAATTGTACATTAAACCAGATTAGTCTGATAAAAGGCCACTTTTTAAAAGCTGAGACTATATATCTGCTACCTTCTGTTCATAGGTAATTTGCTTAGTTGCTACAAGACTACCTGAAAGCAGGCAACAAACTGAGGTAAGCTTATTCCAGAATTACTTTTCTATAAGAATGGAAAGTGAGATTTAATAAACTAACAAACAACAACAGCAACAACTAAAAATGTCAAACAAACAAAACCCTGAATCAAAAAAAGGACAACCTACATAAGTTTTAATAAAATAAAAATGCATTCTAAGTAATTTTCTTTTGGCACACTCAAGGAGAACCTAAGTGTTGTTCCTCAACCTGCAGGGAATATAGCTTGCATCATGTATTACAGGATTTGGGTATATCATGAGAGAGTAATCTAAAGTGAGTGTTATATTTGCGTCACAGAGTGTTTTGTTTAGCCTGCTTGAGTGTCTGACATTCCTAGGTCTAGCTGCTCAGAGTGCTTCTGTGCCTGAGAGCACTTTTTATCCCCTATTTCTTTAGGAAGCTGAAGACACACTCTTCTCTGGCAAGATCAAATCCTTCCATGGTAGTTCCCTCCAAGTTAGCCTAATGCTGTCAGTACTGCTCTCTTTTGTGAAATGCAATGTGTGGTAAATCTGCAGACTGGAGAGAGATGCCTTAATTTGTAAAAAGCTATAACGTTGAGTCTTCTGTTACTTATGAAACCCATGTTGAATTTTTATGCTAACTTTATTCTGTAGCTTTCCATAGCTTTAAAAACTCAATTGACTTTCAAAAATGTTGGCTAAGAAATCTGTGGTGTATTTAGTAATTTCTATAGCCTCTTGCTGAACATACAGTAGCTTGACAATAGTGGTGTCTAGCAATTTTCTGTGACTATTCTGCAACAGTGTGAGGGTGTGCAGGAAGTCTCGTCCCATTCATAGAAACCTTGTTAACATCAGAGCAGAATGACCCTTCTGGCAATTCCAGTTGCAACCATAAAGCAATAAAATACACTCCATATCTGATACTTGTGCTTGCTGTATTCATGGGTAGGAACCAAATCTTTTATCTATTTATATGTGAAATGGGCTTGCTGAAAATGCTGGGCTCCATTTTGGAACACCAAGGTTTGCAGTGCCTCTATGAAACTACAGAATCAGAATATTCTGAGTTGGAAATGACCCACAAGGATCATTGACTACAGCTGCTGGCCCTGCACAGGACATCCCTAGTCACATCATGTGCCTGAAAGCATTGTCCAAACACATCTTGAACTCTGCTGGGCTTGGTGCTGCGACCACTTCCCTGGGGAGCCTGTTCCAGTGCCCAACCACCATCTCCGTGAAGAGCCTTTTTCTAATATCCAACCTACACCTTCCTGACAGAACTTCTTGCCCTTTCCTTGGGTCCTGTCACTGATCATGGGAGAGGAAACAGTACCTCCCCTCTGCTTTCCCTCGTAAGGATGGTGGAGAGTGCAATGAGGTCTTCCTCCAGAGAGGTGTCCTCTACTTGATTATAGTTCAATGCAAAATGTGGAGCAGCAGAGCAATGGCTGCTATCACGTGAGTGCATGCAATACATTTAGCTGTGTCAGAACTGGATGAGAAGGTAAGACTGAGCCTATGACAACTGAGAATTGAAGAGGAAAAACTAATAGCTCACCTTAATTTCTAAGTTTTTTCATTGTTAGACATGTTGGCTCTTGCATCTATGTGGATGCACAGTCAGTCATGTGCATAAAATATTTCTTTCCAAATTCACTCCTACCAATTTATGTAAATATTTTTGGGTATGTTTTAAAGAACTGAATTATGAGAGAAACTTACTGCATATTTTTGTGATAACTTCAGCTTGTTACTAAAATTGAGTGGTAGGAAGTGTGCCAGTGTTGCTATTACTGGAGCATACGTTAATATTTGATCTAAATACATTGACCAGACTGGGATATTTTGGTTGAAGCTTCATTGTCAAAAAAATGCTGAAATGCATACCATTTGAGATCTGCCTAGGACTGAATATATGCCAAAGCTCTTCCCATTTTCAAAAGACCCTGAGTAGATATCTACCCATGTGTTTAACTAGTATGATCCATTTTGTCTATAATTTGGTTTGTGTGTGCTCTAAGGTATTTTCTTTTTTCAGCTTGTCCTGGACAACCCAAAAATTGTGTATTGTATTCCATTTTTCCTTAGCATCAATCCATGCAGTTTGTGTTAATGTCCCTTTCAGACCTGGTGGCCGGAAGTGGACCTGGAGTGTTTTACCCTGAAGGGGTAGGTTCTGGCAGTGGTGGGAGGTTCAAGGGATGCCTTTAAGAGACAGGGAACAGGCACACAGGGTCGTCTTTCTTGTTTCTTGCTGAGATGCCAAGGAAGTTGCCTGGCATAGGTCTCCAAGAAACTGGTTTTTTTTCAGTCCAAAACTGTTTCAGAGGGAATTTCACAATACACATCCACAGTGCCGAGCTGGAGCTGTTGGGGCCAGGGCTGTGGGTTCTGGTGCCCAGTGTGTCAGTTTTCTTTCCCCGCAAAGCAGCAGCAACTCGGAACTGCAGTGCCCAAACCAGCTGGGTCTGGCAGGCCAAAAAGAAGCAGAAGAACTGACACTGCAGGTTGGGAGCTGCCCCAGGCTGTGCCAGTCCCAGGGAACTGACACTGCAGGTGGAAGGCTGAGCCAAATGGGGCTTCTCTGCCATCTCGCCTTTGTCCCCAGGGCCAAAGAATGGGGCTTCTCCACCATCTTGTTTTCTTTGTTCATGGGGAGTTCATGTGAAGACTCAGTACCTTTATACCTTGTGATTATTGCTGTTATCTAGGTTGTGTCTATTTTATTTTTTAGTAAACTGTTATTTTTTCACTTATACTTTCTCACATTCATCTCTCCTTATCAGTGAAAGCTGAGTGGTTAAAATTAAAGGGGGAGTAGCTAATTTCTCAGGCTCCACCCCATAATTTATCTTAAACTTATCTTAATCATGCTGTGCAGAATGTTGATTTGAAAATATACATCAATTCACTTAATGAATTTGGTAGCAATTACATTTTTTTTCTACTCCGTTTCTATTTGATTTGGCCATGTTTATGGCAGAAGAGCAAGGAGAGAAGAGGGGAAGCTGATTTCTGCACCACCTGAGGGCAAGTCACCATCATCCATGGGCAGCTGTGGAAGCATAGGGCAAAGGGAGAAATCAGGAAGTGTCCAGAATTCAGATGAAAGCTCAGTAGGTCTTTATCAGGAACTAAAACTGTGCACACCATGGACAGGCACAAAGCACTCGCATGCTCCTGGTGCCAAAAGCAAGGTGGGACAAATAGCCAGTGAGGCCCACAAAGCTGACAGTGCCAAACTGTACACTGAATATGTGCCTTCTTTTTGTTTCCTCTTCGTGGCAGCATCAGTATTGATTTTCAGGTATTTTCTTGCTATCTGAGTAACAGATGAGAGAGCATCTGCAGCAGTGTTGGACCTACATTTGCTCTACTCTAGTGTCCTCTTCACAGACCTCACTCTCATTCCTCTCGGAAAGGGAGTAGGCAATAAATGGTCACAGAGTGTGAGCCACTGATCTGGTTAATGTTGCTTCCTGTGCTTGTGCTCTGAACATAAAGAGGTTGAAGGCAGATAGGAAGAAGCTTCATCCACAGACCTACTGCAGCCATGACCAGAGCTGTGACAGCACCCTTGCATTCTTTTTCCATGGCATGTCACAAGGAGGATCTGGGACCTTGAGGGAGCCTAGTGTCATTCTCTGTGTGCCTCTTATTGGTTGTCCATTTTCCACCCTTTTGTTCTTGATTGATGCTGTGAAAGTTTACTATTTGTCAGAACCCCAGGCACAAAGGAGAGGATCTAGTAAGATTGAGCTTGTGTTTCATTGATGTCCTGGCCAAGAGTGGAGGCATGATGATAATCAGCAGTTTAAATGCTATATTTTAGACACTGGCTGAGGTACTGAAAGTAATGAGTTGAGGTTTTCCTTCAACTGAGCTCAGCATGCTTGGTATGCTTCTGTTAGTTATTTTTTGCTTCTTCTATGAAGAAAAACTTATTAGATACGGTTGGGTTTTTTTTCAGTGCAACAAAGCAGGCGTGTTAACTAAAACGCTGCCAGACTAATGTGTTAATTATAACTCATCTCTAAAGAATGAGTCTAAAACAGTAATCCTTCTGGTTTGTTTGATAACTGCCAAAATGCCTACTGAAATAGACGGGGGAAGTGTCAAAAGAGGGGTTAAAAATAATGTACTGTGCCTACGGATAGCACTTTGCTATGGGTGGTTGTAAATCCTATGAGTGTCTTGAGGAGGTAGGTGCTAGATAGTGTGTAGTTGAGGATCCTGTACCAGACTGAGGGCTTGATCTTTTAGCCTTGATGATGTCAGAGGTGTGGGGGTTTGTTGTCCTGTGAAAACCCAGTGAAACTGGATAAACCCAGCAAAATTTTAAAATACACTTTTTGCAAATTTATGCAGATGGTTGCATTATCTTGAAATGATCCACAACTCTCCCCCCACCCCCCTGAGAAGGTACATGCCTTCTTACCATAAAATGGCAGAGCCAATGCCTAGACTGGGAGATGGTTGTGGGTATTTAGTGCCCTCTGTTAGTCCAGAGCTGGGAAGAAATGTCATCGGGGAAATTTCTCTGTGTGTACAGGTCTCCAATTTCTTGACATGGTGGCCTTCCAAAAGTTTCACCAAGAGGACCAGTGGAACACCAGAAGCAACACACAGAAATTAAAAGACAGAAAAAATAAAACACAGAGAAAATACTTTTTTTTTTCAGTAGACATCAGACGCAGCAGCACAGGAGACACAGAGGTGCAGCCAGGGACCTACAATGGTAGAGCCAAAAAGTGCTGACAAACCCACAAAGGCAGGAATA